ACATCCTCTCTGACAACCAGCTCTCCTGTTACCAGAAGGCACCGTACAAGCTTCCAAATGAGGGAAGCAACCAGCGGTCCTAACCAGTTACGATGCCTATGAACCACATCAGCAACCAGCACAGCCCGATAACCCTAAGTAGAGGCATGCATACCTTGGTGCTATCCAGTTGAACCTCAGTCCCGTTCAACAAGAGGGAAATCATGACTAGTACATGAAACCTAACCAATTTGTCAGGACTAGTACAGTCATGGATCTTGAAGGAGCATCTACAACCACCGCTTTACTAAACATAATCCCTAGCCACATTGCAAATTTTCGTCCCTCTTTGCAACTGAAAAAAAGACCATTACAGAAAATCATAACCAATCTGAATGCAGAGTTGTGGACACCAGTCCCAGTAAATACACCTACAAAACATTCCCATACCAAAATGCCCAGGGAACATTTTGGATGCGAAGATGGGAAGATTGGAAGAGCCAGAGGATCAGGGAATTTTCTGTGGAATTGTGTTGCCTAGTGATGTAAGTCTCCCCAGTATGACTGTCCAACATGAGCTAAACAAGGACAACAGCAATAATCATCCTAACTTGGATGGGTGAAAGACCACAAGGCCTCAACCCTACACAAAGATCTATAGGCAACTTAAGAAAGCTAAGAGTGGGAGAAATAGTCTTCATCAGGGAAGAGCACCCCAATTGGTTATCCAATGGCCACATGGTCAGTCCAGAAAACATACATACAAGTAACATTATACAGACTGAACAGACAGATGTATTTAGGAATACATATGTATCTACATATAAGTGCATAACAACAATTAATGAAAAGAAGCAGCCATGAATTTGAAAGAGAGCAATGAGAGGTATAGTGGAGAGTTGGAGGGATGATATAATAATATTATAAGCTAAAAAAATAATAAAAGAAGTAACTTTTGAAAAACCAGGCTCAGGTAAGATGATGCATCACCTTTCATCACAGCATTTGTGAATCAGAGGCCATGAGATCTTTGTGTCCTCAGAGCCAATCGAGGCTACATAATGATTTCCATGCCAGCCGTGGCTATCCAGTGAGACCCTGTCTTTTTTTTTTTTGAATAATCTATACATCTAAGTAAGTATTGCTCCCTTCATTCTTGCTACGAAAGAAACAATGGTTCGACACAAAATCTTCTGAGATCCACTGAGAAGAAACTTCTTTGCAGTGAGCAAACAACCTTCTGACCCTCAGTTTCTTCTCTGCCTATAATAAAGGTTGAGTGTAACCGTCACTCTCTCCCATCCTGAGCCCCTTCATTTTTCATCAATTGATATTTCTTTCAATGGGTCACACTCTGACCCCGCCCCCAGAGAGAACTGCCCTCAACTACAAGATGCTTCCCCATCCAACACTGTCTATTGACCTCAGGTAATGTATATAATTTCAGATTTGTCCCACAAGCTCACACATGTGCACTGCTGGCCACCTATGTCACCAATGCCACCTGAACGAGGTTGCAGTGACTCCTGGAGTTACAACATGTCATCTCATCGTCTCCAAGCTTTCCCCACTACTCTGGGGAAATTTTCCTGAAAAGCACACACATACATGCTCAGGTCAAGCATCTTTGATGGAAAAAAAAAATCTTTGCAAATATAGGGCTGTAACCCTAGGCCACAGTTGGGAAGATGACCCTAGAAAAAGATGTTGGGTGCCATCAGACAGGGACATAATGGTAAGAACCTGTCATTGGGAGCCCAGGTGCAGGACTCTTGCATACATAGAACATTCACTGGTGTGCCACTTGGCAATCCCAAGAGTAACCTTGGAGTAGATGAGAACCCAAGACATTGATGTGTAAATGGAGGCCAGACTCAAGTGATCCTCTAAAACCCTTTTGAGCCTTGGGTCAATGAGAATATGATGTTATATGTCTAGAAATTTAATAACTTATTCCTCATACTGGATTGCCTTGCCCAGCCTTAATACAAGGGGAGGTGCTTAGTCTTACTGCAACTTGATATGCCATGCTTTGTTGACACCCATGGGAGGCCTGCTCCTTTCTGAACAGAAACTAAGGAGGAGTGGATTGGGGATAGGGTGGAAGGTACCAGGAGGGAATGGTAGGAGAGGGCGAAAGAGAAAATGTGGTCAGGTGTAAAATAAATTAATTAAATAAAAAATGAATGTAATAACTTCTTAGTCCTCTACTCTGGCATCAATTTCACAGAGAAGAATGAAACCCATGGTGAACCCCAGGAAGCGTACAACATTATCAGCATTTCTGCCTTCCTCCTTAGCAGTGGGTGGGCTGCTGCCTGCACAACACAGACACTTGCCAGGAAGCCTCCAAATGTGCTTCAGAAAATATCCTCTACCCTTGTGTCTCTCATCAAAACAGACAGTTACTTGAATATATATAACTGTCTTTTAACTAAATTATATATACAAATAAAAACAAAACAAAGTAAAACAAACACTACATTAATTATGTTTTAGAAACACATTTCCTCACCCAATATGCCAAGTTATAATTCATGCTGTTGGCTTCTAATCTATTTGGCTTAAAAGCTCCTTTGATTGATGACAGATATGTGAACTAATTCATTATATATTCATTCTTTCATTCTGTTACTCTTCACTTACTGTCCACAGGGTGCCTGACATGAATGGGGCCCATTTGATGTACTCACAAAGGGTCAGTGCTGTTCCTGAGATGCCCGATCCACTAACCTGCAATAGAACCTTAGAGTGAGTGTGGGCTTTTTAAAAAATTCTTTAAATTAACTGATCCACTAGGATTTTCTTAAAAAGAGGGGCTGCAGACAGTTAGACTAACATGGGAAAAACATATTTTAAAAAGTAGGGCCAGTGAAATGGCTCAGTCAGTACAGAGGCATGCGAGCGCAAGCCAGATGACCTGAGTTCAATTCCTGGATCCCACAAGGTGGCAGGAGAGAACAGATTCTCTAGAGTTCTCCTCTGCCTTCTACACATGCACACTGGCCACAGGTATCTGTACCAACACAGCCACTTGTGTTCC